TCTATCTATCTATCTATCTATCTATCTATCTATCTATCTATCTATCTATCTATCTATCTATCTAAATCATTTACTGTATGAAATCAAATATTTATTGAACAGATTTGGGTAGATATTTAAGTAGATGTAAATTGGAGTTATTTTTATTTTGTTTGGTTGTTTTTCTCTTTTTTTATTTTATCAAAGCTGCACTGCGCTTACTTCTTTTCCGAGTTCGGACCACATCAATTAAATATATTGAGCTGAAAACAAACTGAGTGTTTCACCTGATTAGTCTCCCTCAGGCCTGATGTGGTTTCTGGTTCAGTCGGTCTAACTGAGCTCAGCAGCAGCTCCCTGTTAATGATAACTGATCAGCACCTGCAGGACCCAGGAGGATACCATCCGTCTCCAGCACCGCAGCCGGTTGGACAGCGACCGCAGCGGCGTCGTCAGCATCAGCGCGGCTCGGCCAATCAGAGCGCAGCTCGGGGCAGATTAACGCGCACAGCCCCGCCGCTGCTGCTGCTGATGCTGCTGCTGTAGTAGAAGCCCCAGAAACAAGCAGTCCTGCTCTGACCCTCGTGGATGATTACAGCTGCTTAACTAGGCGGTGTTAGGATGGACACACACAGATAATTACCTTTAACAGGAACTAAATCAGGAGGAAGATGGATGCTGACTCAATAATTGGAGAAAGTACAGATGCGATAGTGGTGGACGATTCTCCCATTGAAGAGAAGGAAATTCAGCAGGCTGGCCAGAGGTGGGCTGTTTCTGTTTGAATGTAGATTTTAGATCAATTCAAAATCAGTTTTTTATTTCCCTGTAAGTTTTTTATTTTCCTGACAGAAGAATGTCTAAATCCATGAACAATTTAATTATGTGCACATTTTGCTTTCATGAATTTCTTGCTTCATCTTCATGTTCTTTATTGTTCCAAGCCTCATAATGCAGACATAAATCCTGGTCACTTTGAGCTGGTTTGTTTATGTTTAATGGACTGAGGGATGCAACAAGAAAACATGAAGGTAGCACAGCAATCTTTACTTCTCTGTGATGTGATGAGTTTAACTCCCCTGTTTTTGTTGAGAGGGGCTGTCTGGGTAGCAGATGGCAGCCCAGCACTCATTTTGATCCCCACTAGCAGCTCTGTTTTACAAGAAAAGCATCAGAGACTGAGGCTGGGGGAAAAAAAGCAGAGGCTTCACCTCAGCAACAGACACGTCTCTGTCGCTACGAAGAGAATGTTGTCAACCCTTCTTCAGGTGAATGACAGACCCCCCCCCCCACAAGTTATCTCAGGTTTTGTCCCAACAGATCTGCACTGGAAAGAGGGCCAGCAGTCACCTTTTGGATTGATAATCATGGACTGGCTTAAGGAGAGACGTTTTTATTTTATTTTTTTTCAGATTTTGAGATTTTAACCTGATCAAATATTTTTTTTCCAAAATAAGTATATAAATTACCAGCAGATAGAGCTTTATCTGACCCCTTAAACCTTTTATCATTAAAACATATTAAGTTGATTATTTTATTTATCCTGCTGTATTGTATTACTTTTATTAGTTTATATGATGATTGCATGAAAGCACCTGCAGGAACCACTTTAAAGCATTTTATTTTTATCTTCTATATAAATCTATTTGGATTCTTTGAAAATACGTATCACTAAGACTTAATGCTGAATGGTTTCTATTTCCCTATAATTTTGTCATATTTGTGTGATTGAAGCACTGATTAGTAAATGGGCTAAGTAGCTCTCCACTCTGTGAACTTTCCAACATCACAGATGAAGCCCTCTGATTGGTTGATAATCATCCTTGATTCCTGTTATTATTGTTTGTCTGCTTTTGCCCATTAAGTTGTTTTTTTCTTTTTGTTTAGAGGGTAAATGTTGATAAATATGCCACTTTTCTATTTTTCACTAATCTTTATAGTATGCTCAAGCCTTCAGTTATTTATTTATTTTTTTTGCAAAGCAGACCAACTATGCAATTATAATTTATTTTCAAATTCAAGGTGACCAAAGCATCTCAAAAGCCAGCACCAGAACAAATGAGCCTCAGGATTCTGTCTGAGTGAACTGAGGGTGAACTGATCTCCTGTGCATCCAAATCAACCGTTCTGCAGCAGTAAATGCAGCTAAACCACACAGTAGTGCGCGGAAACTCATAAAAGTAAGCAGGTTAGGTCCTGCTGCATATATCCAAATACTCTTTTTTTCCATGTATCTGCTTTATGCAGAGGTTTTCTTCATTTCTGGTGTCTATTAGTTCAAATTTAGACCCATCTGACCAAAGAAAATGTTTTTCATTCCTGGTTTTTATTATGTTCTCTGATAAAATGTCTGTGTTGTCTTTTTGTTTGTTCTTTTTCTGCTGGTTTCAGTTGTACGAAAATAATCAGAACTCATTTTCCTATAAGTAGGAGAAATTAATGGAAACAAATAATTTGAAATGTGGGAATCCTTTGCATAAGTTGTTTCTTTTAAGTTTCTTGTTCTTTTAAAGATATGTAACAGTTTAAATACTGTGCACGAGGTACTGAGGAGGAGTACTGAGAACAAAACTCAGGTTCAGAGTCCAATGGAGTCTGCACACAAATCACCACCACACTGTCTTCATGCAGCTCTTTCAAAGCAGCCTGCAGACACTGTCCTGTGTGTTGTTTTCTATCATTTCTCTGAAATATGTCTGAGTTCTGTAAATTACACTTTTTTGTGTTCCTCATCATCAGCAACAAGACACTAAGTCACTTCCTTCTGCACCTAAATAGGCTAAACCCGTTGATAAAAACCCTGACTCAGGGCTGCTGTGCTCATTCTGGGTTATGAATTATTTAGATTTTTCTCACAGTTTTACATTGGCATGAAGCACAAAGAAACACAACAGCCTAGATCTTCACCCAACTCAAGCAGCTCACTGAATTGCTCATCATCTGAGCGCCTTATTGCACGATGCAACTGGATCTGTGTGAGGTCAGCTGGGCTTTGATGGCTCCCTCTAATGCCATGGTTACGAGACGAGGAGACCGGCTGCATCCAGACTGCTGGAAAAACAAACAAAGTCAGAGCCTCCTCAGAGAACAGCCATTACACAGCAGCTTGGGTCGTTCATGAGTAAATTATGTCGTGTTTAACTTTAGAGCTAGCTGTGTGAGGACTGATGCAGAAGCAGGTCTGGTGCATAGTGTAATTACACTAGCAGGTTTACACAGCTTTGCAGTGGGTATGAAATAATGCTTGTTTTACATGAGGAACAGTTATTTTCTTTGGCTTAAGTTCTTCCTTCTTTAAATCAAGACATGGCTTAGCATTAACCTGTAGATCACATCAAATGATGAATAATATGAGAATCCCTTCCAATCTATAGAGGCCCTACAAACCAAAACTCAATCTACAAACTACTTATAAATGCAGGGATAAATGCTGAGAGAGCACTCTAATGATTACCTTTTAAGTGGCTGCACAAAATCACCTAAAAAGGCATAAAGTTAATCTGCTGCTATTATTTAACCCTTGGGAGGGTCTAACCTTTCCTATAAAACCATTGTAATGGTGGACAGTAGCTTTACTGAGGCAGTATGAGACAATTTGGAAGCACATCATCCATCCTTTGAGATGAGACTAGTTCACAGTTTGAAGTTGATCAAGAACCTAAAATTAGATAGAATAAAGGAAAAGACAAAGAAAATACTTAAGTTTTAGAAGCCCCTAGGAAAATCAGTGTTGCACAAAAGTAAATACCTTTGGTGGTTCTGTTTACACTGTTTACAACCGCTGGTAGGAGCCCACCAAATGACTGCATGAATGGATGGATGGATGGATGGATGGATGGATGGATGGATGGATGGATGGATGGATGGATGGATGGATGGATGGATGGATGGATGGATG